ATAGATAGATAGATAGATAGATAGATAGATAGATAGATAGATAGATATTATATATGAAAGCTCTGCAATGACGTTAAATTCAAAGCAATCTGCTTCTCAGATAAAAAGTACTAACTAATAACTTTTTATATACAAAGTATATAAATGTTTCTGTTCAGTGCCTTGAGATGACCTGTTGTGACTTGGCGCTACATAGACAAACCGAATTGAATGTGTGTGTAGGGTGTGTGTGTGTGTGTGTGTTTGTGTAAAGGGGGTTCTACTGTAGCTGAGTGGTTAGACCAGTCTTCCTCCAATGAGAGAGGTTGGGGGGGGGGGGGGGATTCCACCATCAGTCACATGCTGAAGTGTCCCTGGGCAAGACACTGAACCCCTCATTGCCTCTGATGTGTGTCCATCAGTGTATGAATGTAATAAAGCTCTGATTAGTGTCTATAGAATGATTTGTTCATATGATCTTTGTAGAGATGTCGTAGAGTGCTGTATGAATGTGTGTGGAGGTAAATGAGGGCCCAGATTGTGTTGTAAGTTCATGGCAAAAACTAACACAGACATGTTTCTGTTTTTAGTATTTTACTTTGCTTTACAATTTAGCTGGGGGGGGGGGGGGAGTTGTTTTATTTTTTTTTAATTTCTTCTATTTTCTTTTCATTTTATATGCTTTTTGTATGATTGACTATTATTGTGTGTACCTCATCTGTGTTCTTTGTTTAAAACAGGTCTCTATTGTAAATGAGTCCTCTTGATTCAATGAGACTAACCTGTATAAATAAAGGTTGAACTAATGAATGTAATGTAAATAGTATTTACATTACATTCAGTTGTTCAACCTATATTTATTAAATACCTTTGAGGGTCTTGATTAGATAGAAAGGTGCTATATAAGTTCAGTCATTTTACCATTTACCATGTATATATATATCAAACCTTTGACTTGGTAACCCAATTTTCAATAGTGACCTGTCATGCAGCCACACACCAAATTATAAGTTGGTATGTCACTTATTTTTCCAGTTATCACTCTCAAAACATGCACGGATGGGCAGAGGGTATTTCCAATTCCCCTTTTTACTTCCCATTGAAGACAATAAAGAGATATTTGAGGAAAAGCTACTAAGATGTGAAATTGAGAAATATATTTTTAACCGCCGAGACTTCATTATGTGAGCTTTGCCTGCCAAGGTCAAGATATTTCATAAAACCTGACTTCACATACAAACAAAACCATCTCGTCTTTAAGAGACGGCATCACCCAGCAGGTTTAATAAAAAACTATTTTCAGCCTTTTACAGAATAAAAGGGACGACCTTAAACAGTCATTCAGGTATTTGTGAGTTTTGGTTTAATGAGAGCTGTGGCAGTCTATTTAGCACTGAGCGTCACAAAAAGAGGAGCTGTTCCATTAGAAAGAGGACACAGCTTTCATGGATACACTGAAACATTTCAGGAGATCAAAGCGATGTGCGTGAGCGTGAGGACGAGCACATTTTAGAATAAGGGTTTGAGGTGAAGCTGATGCGCCTCTGAAGCTTTTCATGACTTGATCACATATGACTCAGAGTAATTCTACTCCTGCTTACCATTATGTTGCTGTGAATGAAGCCCTTGCGATAACGAGCAGGTTTGAGGTGGGGGTACTCTTCAGTGCTGGTGACCCGAATGTTCCACACACGCCTCCATGCCTCGTAGAGCTGCAGGTGCACCGGGTACACGCCAGAATGGTGAGGGGCCACGGCGTAGCCCATGTCCACTGGGATGTTGTGCTCCTGGAGGAGAAGACAGACACACACATGAAGGTTATACAAATAAACACAAAAATGATGGCACATATACAGCTTGTAGACAAAAGACTCTGTAGCACATAAACACAGAGCCGAAGACTTTGACCTTGTTGGAGAAGCACATGGGTTTTGTTGGGTTTGTTATGGGGCTGGCCTTCAGGTTGGAAATGAGAAAAAATATGGCTTGTGAGCGTGTGTGTACGTGTGTGAGCTCGCTGAGGGTGGAGGGCTGCTGGGAGCCTCCAGAAGAATGATGGTGTTGTCCTTTGCTCTGACACACACCTACACACACTGTCAAAGCTAAGCATCAATGGCCAGGGCATGAGGGAGTGAAGTGTGAGTTTGTGTGTGTTGCACACACACACACATTCAATGGCATGAACAAATCCTTTGTGCATTATTGTGTGTGACACCACAGCTCAATGTGGTCATCGTTACCATCTTCACTCACAAATAAACCAACAAAGCACAAGTAAAAAAAAAAAAGAAACAAGATACGTCTATGTACCTCGTCGCTGATGGATTTAAATAGTGAATGTTGGTAGTTTTGGAGATGAGCGTTTTTCTGGACTGCAACTGAACAGGGAATAAAGTAAACCTTAATGCTTCTGGTGCAAGGTATATAAGTGGTAGGAGTTAAACAGTGGAGAAGAACAGAGGGAGATTTTTATTATTTATTTTTAATGGTCTGAGGCAGCACAGAGTGACGGATCCTGGTGAATGAAGAGAGCAATTTTATTCAACACCAGGTGCAACAGCAGAGCCAGGGGGTGGCCAATGGTGGCCATGACCACCATAGATTAATCTTTGGTCACCTCATTTATTTTGAGGAAGCCATTCTTTTTAGAAATATAAAAATTAGACAAAACAGTTTCCTCAAATGATAGAGCTGGTCTGTTTACATACATACATATATATATATACATACATCTATATATATATATATATATATATATATATATATATATATATATATGTGTGTGTGTGTATGAATATATATATATAAGGGATGCACCGATCCACATTGTTTTACTTCCGATCCGATCCCTAAATCTGGATATCAGCCGATACCGATACCTTTCCGATATTATCATCATTATTTATTTTATATGAGGCTGTAATAATCTCCTCTCTATAGACAAGTACAATTTGAACAAATATATGCATGCATGTCCAAAAAAGACAACTTGAGGTAAGTTTTGTTAATGTTGGAAAAGTTTCAGTTAGAATTAAATTCTTACACAAAACATGCTTTTTTTAATTCATAGCTTTAAAGTGGATATTAAAGTGATTAATTTAAGTGATTGTTTAAAGTTATTTTCTTTTTTAAATAAGGGGCAGCTATATGATTTTTTTTTTATTCTTTCTGCACTCTTTTCATTCAGTGTTTTCTTTTTGATGAATTTGTTGTTTATTTTGTTTCTTTTAAATGAATCAATAAATGAATAAAATAAAATAAAATAAAAAATTAAATGGCTTCAAACATCTGCTACAGTAAGTTCATGGCATAAACCAACACAGACATGTTCCTGTTTTTAGTATTTTACATTGCTTTATAATGTAGCTGTTTTCGTTTAGTTTTTTTAATATAATTTTCTTGTAATTTTCAATTCATGTGCTTTTTTTATGATTGTCTACTGTTGTACTGATAAATTGGAGGGTAAACTATATCTTGGCTGCAAGTATTCAATCAAGCTGCAAAATCCTTCGTTTTCTACAACTGAGTTGGTCAAGTGGTTGGTCATTAATTACGATGCAAATACTTCCACACAGCGGACATGTTTCGATGAAAAGTTGGTTAGCTGTTAGCCACAGTGCTGCTAACTCAGTCCTCAGTCCTGTGAGGCGGGTCTTATTACAGTGGGTTTCGTGAAACACGCCTCCTTTCAGGAAATCCATTCCATAGTTTGAAGCCAGTGTGCAGAGCAGCTGGCAGGGAATCACATGAGGAGATGTTTCAGCAGACACAGACATGCATCATGGATCAAAAATCTCTGCAGGTTGGATTCGATAAATCTGATACGTATATTACGCTGGTATCGGAGCCCGATATAGATACCAGATCGGATCGCCCCCCATCCCTAATATATATAAATATATATATATATATATATATATATATATATATATATATATATATATATATACATATTCGGTGTGCACCGATTGCAGTTTTCTGTCCGATCCCCGATTTCTAAAATGTCTGACCAGCTGATTCCGATTTTGGCCGATGCCGATTTTGTTTTATAAGCGACAATGTCAGGTGTTAAAAGGTCACAATGCACCTTCAATTGTTCAGTATTATTTTATTGAAAAACATACCCTTGGACAATATCCTAGAAACAACACAAACTTGTTTTAAATGGCCATGAGGTAGTGCTCTGAAATATAAATAAAGTTCAGACAATTGTTGTTAAAACAAAAACAAATCGATAAAATCGGTTTCTCATGAAAGTATCGACCAATTTCCGATTTCCCAAAATGAAGGATATCGGGGCCGATTTATCGGTGGACCCCTAATATATATATATATATATATATATATATATATATATATATATATATAT